GATGCGGGGCTCAATCCCAGGATCCTGAGACCATGACCTGAGCCCAAGGCAGAGGCTTAACCCACTGGGCCACCCAGGCGCCGGAGTCCCTGCTTTTTAAACGTATCCAGAAGCAGCGTCCTGGACCTTATGGTAATTCTATGCTTAAAATTCTTTGAGGAACTGCCCCGGTTTTTGACAGCAGATGCACCATTTTGCATTCTTACCAACAACGCACAAAGGTTCCAATTTCTCCACATCCTTGTCAACACCTGCTCTGTTTTTAGGATAGCAGCCATCCTAATGGGTGTGAAGTGGCACCTCACTGTGATTTTGATTTGAACTGCCCTAATGGTTAGTGATGGTGATCATCTTTTCATGTGCTTATTGGTCATTTGTGCATCTTCTCTGGGGAAATATCTAAGTTCTTTGCCCATTTTTCAACTGGGTTGTTTGTTTTTTGTTGTGGAGTTTTAGGATTTCTTTATACATTCTGGATATTAATCCTTTACCAGATAATATGACTTGAAAATATTGCCTTCCATTCTGTGGGACTGCCTTTCCTGCCTTTCACAGATGGTGTCCTCTGATGTCCACATTTTAAATTCTGATAAAATCCAACTTTTTTCTATTGTTGCCTGTGCTTTGGGTGTCGTATCCAAGAAATCATTGCCAAATCCAATGTCAAGAAGCTTTTCCTCTGTTATCTTCTAAGAGTTCTATGGTTTTAACTTCTGAGTGTTTTATGGTTTTAACTGTGACATTTAGGTCCTTGATCCATTCTGAATCAAATTTTGCATAAGGTGTAAGATAAGCGTCCAACTTCATTCTTTTGCATGTGGATCTCCATTTCCCCCAGAGCCTTTTGTTGAAAAGACTGTCCTTTCCACATTGAATGGTCTTGGCACCCTTGTTGAAAATTATTCAACTATAAGTGCCAGGGTTCATTCTGGGCTCTCTATTCTATCGCATTGGTCAATATGTTCATCTTTATGCCAGAAAAACAACGGCTTTTAAAAAAATTTATTGAAATATAATTGACATATATGTACCCACACCATTTTGATTACTGTAGCCCCGTAATAAGGAACATATCTTAACATAATAAAGGCCATATATGATAAGCCCACAGCTAACATCACATTCAATGATGAAAAGGTGAAAGCCTTTCCTCAAAGATGAGGAACAAGACAAAAATGCCCACACTCACTACTTCTATTCCACACAGTACTGGAAGTCCTAGCCAGAGCATTAGGTGAGAAAAAGAAATAAAATGCATCCAAATTGGAAAAGAAGTAAAACTGTCACCGTTTGCAGATGACATGATATACACAGAAAACCCTAAAGACTTAAAAAAAAAAAACCTGTTAAAACTAATAAACTCAGTGAAGTTGAAGGATATTGAATACACAAAGATATGTCATATTTCTTGTATTTATAACAAACTACCAGAAAGAGAAATTAAGAAAACAATCCCATTTATACTTGCATCAAAAAGTGTAAAATATGTAGGAAAAAATTTAACCAAACAGGTAAAAAAAGATTTGTATATTGAAAACTACAAGACAGAAATGAAAGAAACTGAAGAATTTATAAATAAATGGAAAGATATTCATGCTCATGGACTGGAAGAATCATTATTGTTTAAATGTCCATACTACCCAAAGCAATCTATAAATGCAATGAAATCGCTATTGAAATTCCAATGGCATTTTTTGGAGAAATAGAATATAGAATCCTAAAAATTGTACAGAACTATAAAAATTCCTGAATAGCCAGAGCCATCTTGAGAAAGAACAAAGCTGGAGGATCACACTCCCTGCTTTCAAATGATATTACAAAGCTATAGTAATTAAAACACTATAGTACTGGTATAAAATTAGACACAGAGATCAATGAAACAGAATTAGAGTGTGGGGAAAGAAACCCACATATACACGGTCAATTAATTTTCAACAAAGGAGCCAAAAGCATATGATGGGAAAAGAGCAGTCTTGTGAGTAAATGGTGCTGGGAAAATTGGACAGCTACACACAGAGAATGAACTCCGACCATTATCTTACACCGCATACAAAAATTCATCCAAAAATGGATTAAAGCTTTGGTGTAAGACTGTAAACTATAAGAAATCCTGGAAGAAAAAAACAGGTGATAAACTCTATGTCACAGGTCTTGGCAATGATTTTTTTTTTTTTTAATCTGACACCAAAACCAAAGGAACAAAACAAAAATAAGCAGGACTACATCAAACTGAAACACAAAATGAAAAGGCAACCTACTGAACAGGAGAAACTAGTTGCAAGTCATGTATCTGGTTAAGGAGCTAACATCCAAAATATATAAAGAAACTCATAAACTGAATAGAAAAAACCCACACAATCTGATTTCGAAAATGGGCTGGAGATCTGAATAGCCATTTTTTTCCCAAAGAAGACATACAAATGCCCAACAGGTAAGCAAAAAGATGCTCAACATCACTAATCATCAAGGAAATGCAGATAAAACCACAGGATATCACTCTCACACCTGATAGTGTCAAAAAGAGAGGAGATAAGTGTTGGCGAGGATGTGGAGAGAAGGGAACCCTTGTGCACTACTGGTCGGAATGCAAATTGGTGTAGACACTGTGCAAAACGGTATGGAGGCGCCTCAAAAATTAAAATGATACAGCAATTCCACTTCTGGGTATTTATCCCAAGAAAACAAAAACATGAACTTGAAAAGATATCTGCCCTCCCATGTTTACTGCAGTATTATATACAATAGCAAAGACATGGAAATGGCCTCAGTGTCCATTGATGGATGAATGGATAAAGAAAATGTGGTGTGTGTGTGGTCTTGCACATACACTCACGCACACAGAGGCACACAATAGAGTGTTATTCAGCCCTTAAAAAAAATGAAATCTTGCCATTTAGGAAATGTATGGACCCTGAGGGCATTATGTTAAGTGAAATAAGTCAGACAAAAAAAGGCAATTACCATATGATCTCTTTTAGATGGGGGATTCAAAAAAACAAAACAAACAAAATGAACTCATAGATACAGAGAAGAGACTGGTGGTTGCCAGAGGCACAGGGAAACGGGGTGGCAAATGGGTGAAACTGGCCAAAAGGTAGAAACTTCCAGTTATAAACTAACATTCTGCAGCTGCAGATATTACCAGTAAGGCTTTTATACAAAATTTACCATGACTAAGAACCGTATATAAAAGGAAGTCCACTGACTGAACTGCTCCTAGAATTTCTAATGATACGACTTCCAATTTAATTTAGGTTAGATATAATCCCAAATGGTTTTTCAAATGAAAATAAATCAACAAGAACTCACCACTTTGTCAAGTAAAAAAAAAAACTTCCTAGGTTACACTTAAAGAAAAAAACAAGAAGTTGGAACGGATACGATTGTGAGGTTTTTTGAATGAATCCTTAGGAATATAATTTTAAGATAAAACTAGTAATATGTGTGGGTCTTTCATGGATCACAAATAAACAACAAGGTCGATGTAATTATTATATAAAAATGCAGAGCTCTTAAAACTTTTGAGAAAACTAGGAAGGATGATTTCAAACGGTCTGCATCATGGCCGAGCTTGAGAAAGAAACGAACACAAAGCTGAAAGGTACAGAGCTGGCGGTTCCCCTTCACTCTACCCCCACCCCCTTCTTAACCCAGTCCCCTCCCTTTGGACTCTCCTTCCACCTCCGCGGCCCTGCTCTTCACACATTGTCCACACACATTCCTAACACGTACTTCTGATCACCCTTTTGCTCAGAAGACTATTTCCCGAAGAAGAGCAAGCCCCTTGAACTTTGCAGAACGTCCCACGCTCACCTTTCCAGCTGGATTTAACTTCACCTTGGCTGCGTCTCACCTGTGCACCTGCCACAAGAGCTCCTCCCTGAAGTGTCCACACTTCCTGGAGTCAGCTCGTGGGCTCGCTTCTGTTCCCTCTGGCCAGAATTCCCCTACCCTTCCCTGCTAACCTCCTCCCCGGCTCGCTCCGCTCTTCTCCAATGCCATCTCCCCGGAAGATCTTTCCCTCCAGCTGGCTGTCCTACTGTCCTCTGACACCTCAAGTTACTAAGTGCCTCGAAAGCCACTAGTGTTCCATCTTATGCCGGAATTACTTATCATCTCCCGGGAAGGGCTGTTCATGGTCTGAGGCAGAAGCTGTTTCTATTTCTACTCTATCTCTGGAAGCAAGTGGCACAGTGCCTTATGCACTTGAGTGCGTAGTGAGTCAAACCATATGAAGTTCTCTCCAAGAAAGTCACTGGATGGAAAATTCTCTGGGTGCGCAGACAGAAAATTAAAGGGCTGGTATGTTGAGAAAAAAGTGTCAGCACATGCAAAATTTCTACCAATGACAAGAATATTTACTTTGGTACAACTGAGACCTATAGGCTTTTGTGAGGTCACGATGGGAAAAAAAAAAAAAAGCCACACACAAAACCTCTCTTTCCAGGTAAATAATGAATGAACTAAAGGAGAGTAGCCTTTAAAAAATAAACTCATTTTTCCCCAAACTGTACAAAGTAATACAAGAAATGCTAACAATTCTGTTATAATGAATTTATAAATAATCCTAATTATGGAATCAGCCTCAGAAAAAAGCTTAAAATACTTCTGGCTTGTATGAATTTACTCCCAAGTAATAGGAAGCCAGGATAAAAATCACTAGCTTTTCCTTAATTACAGGCTCCAAAAATTGAATGAATGAATGAGTGAATGAATCAGGACTTCATAAGACCTGGTTCAGAGTTCACTATAAACCAGTGCTTCTCAAAGTATTTGTGGGAAAAGGACTAATTTTGAAATACTTCCTAGGTCTTGCAGACCAGGACGCTCATAAAATACAATTAAAAATGTTGCAGCAATGTCTAAGGGTTGATGCGTGCTTTTCGTACATGTCACGAGCCAGGAACGAACTCGGCAAATGCGCAGCAGCGATCTGCTCTTTCCCTGAGGCCCCACTGAACCCGCTACCACATGCAGGGGAAGGCAGGAAGCGTGCCTACCTTCTGCTGTTGCACCTCAAACACCGCTTCGTGGACGCTGCAAGCAAAAAGTGAGGTAGGCAGATCACTGAAATCCATCATCTCTTCCAAATCATCTTCATTTTCACCAAAAACCATCTCTTCTTCCTCTTCTTGGTCACTGCTACAGAGGTCTGACTGGCTATCACTCCAAGATTTCATAGTGTCCCCCAGCATTATCTCCTAACAGCAGGTCTTCTCTGTTTTGAAAGTCCTAAGGTGTCTACAAGGCATCTGGTGTTAAAAAAAAAAAAGAAAAAGAAAAAGAAAAGAAAACAGCATAAAGATAAGATTGGGAAGGCCAAATACTGTTTCAGTCAATTCTCAAGACAGCAATTCATCAACGGAAGCAATCTTGTTCAGCAAAGATAAACCAGAGTTTTAAATCAATTCATTACAGTCCTCACAAATTCTACATGTTCTACTCTGCTTATGTTCTACTTTGCTTAGCATATTTTACCTTGTATATTTCACTGGCAATGACATATGACCAAAAAAAGGCAAAAAATTTTCTAGTGGAATTGGGGGAAAAAAAGGGGTGGGGGTGGGGGCAATACAAAATGAGTGAATCTGTACACTAGTTTACAAGCAGTAGGAAGGAAAATGTGAACCAGAACTGCCTTCACATATTTGTTTTGGGTTTTTGGTCTACAACACTGAAACTGGCAGCGTTTAAAAACCCACACGATTCATTCACCATCTGCACCGTGAAATCTGTCTGCAATGACATGACTTCACCTTTCTTAACCAGTCTGCTCTTTTTGACTATACTCCCGAAGAATTAAGTTCAACAGAACCAGAAGTTCTATATAAAGTAGGTCTTTGTTAATATTAGAAATATTTAGGAAGCCTGGGTGGCTCAGTCGGTTAAGGGTCTGACGCTTCATTTCGGCTCAGGTCACGATCTCAGTGAGAGCATGGTGAGATCGAGCTCTGCATCAGGCTCCATGCTGGGTGTGGATTCTCTCTCTTCCTCTCCCTCTGCCCCTCTGAAATAAATAAATTAAACAACAAAAAAGAAATATTTTAAGGCAAAATCTGACACAGACAATAATCAAAGAGATATCCTTTTTCTGGGCATTTAAAAATTAATAATTTTAACTCCAAGGCACTGAGCTGATAGTGTCCCTTTGTTAAATAATGGAACAGAGTCTGTCTTCTATGGACCTTATGTGCACGTCTCTCTCTTCTGATGAACTCCAAGCACAGTGCCTTCAGCATAACATATTTCAATATGCGAAATGGAATTTAAGAAATACCAATCAGGCACAGAAAAATTAAGTAGTCACGATTACTAGTAGTTTAATACTACTTCATTTGTGATCTCCCATGTTATTTCAAAGAACAAAATGCTGTAAATATATTGCTTATATAGAGTACATGACAGATGTTAATGATAGGCTAAAAACAGCAGAGATTTTTTAATCTTTTCATTATTCTACTACGCCCATCAGGAAAGACTAATCCCCAAAAGTAAAATCCTTACTCATTTTAATAAATGTTTTCTGGGGGTGCCTGGGGGGCTCAGTCGGCTAAGCATCAGCCTTCGGCTCAGGTCATGTTCCCAGGGTCCTGGGATCAAGCCCCGCATCGGGCTCCCTGCTCGGTGGGAAGCCTGCTTCTCCCTCTCCCACTCCCCCTGCTTGTGTTCCCTCTCTGGCTGTCACTCTGGGTCAAATAAATAAATAAAAATCTTTAAAAAAAAAAGAGAGAGAAAATAAAAAAAATAAATATTTTCTGAATGCCCATTGCATGACAGGTATTATTAGGGATATTAGATGAGTAAGAAATAGTTCTTATCCTCAAGGAGCTCCCACCAAAGCAGAATTTCTTCTCCTCCACAATGCTAACGGCTCCTAAAGGAATTCTGTTCTACGAATTAGTTCCTATGCTTTCAATTTCTCCTTCTCCATCTGTTCCTTTTCCTCAGCGAACACACCTATTTAAGATTTCCCACCCCCACCCACCCAATCTTAAAAAAAAATAAAAAACAACACCTTTCCTTGTGGATTCTACCTGCCCCTCCATCTACCTCTCCACCTGCCTCTCCTTCACCTTTCCTACCAATTCCCCTTCTGCTGTGTTGTTCCTCAACCACGGTCGCTGGCAAATTGGGTGCCACCAGACTCCTCCCACTGTCATCGGGGCTGACACCGCCCTCACAGGCCTGCGTCTGCCCACTCACCCCGCAACCTGGCGGGGGCCTCTGCCTTCGTGGCGCTCCCTCCTCCCCCGCTCTTTGTTGAAGGCTCCTCGGTCTCCACCTACCCTCTTGCCTTGGGCTCTTTGAGGTTTCATCCCCTTCCTTCCTCCTCCTCTGATTCTTCTTGGGCAGTTTCACCCACACTCCAGCATTTAACCACTTAACCACCCCGGCTGCTCAGCTGTGTCTCCTGCTTACCATAAGGTTCACACACACACACACACACATATACACCGCTCGGGCCGAGGCTGCCTTTCACTCTCCACAGTCAACTGTAAGCTGGGAAGGTTGTCACCAGGACAAGAACAGAATCTGGGGCAATGAAGGGGAGGAGAGAGCTTGGAAAAAGTACAGGACCCCAAGAGATTCTGATCTGCTCCTAGCTCTTTCAGGCCTACACACACCGAAAATCACTGTCTGTATGATTCATATATCCAGAATCAACCTCCCTCTCCTGAGTTCCAGACTTGTCTTTCTGGCTTTTGATTATACGTATCTACCTGGGTAACAAACAGGTACTGCCATTGTTTTAAACATTATACCTCTAATTAGATGATTGTGCCGGAAATCTCCAATCTGGAAAGGGGCCTGGTGGGGGGGGGGGGGAGGATGGTATCTCACTAGAGCTTTCACTGTCATCTTTTATTGAGACCAAGCTGTCACTTAGCGTTCATAGCTCTCTGAGCCCTTTGTTCACTTCTCTATTATATACTTATCCACAACTATTTGTTTACAAATCACTCCCAGCTACCAGACCGGCAGCGACTTTGAATCCCAAGTCCCTGGCACAGTTTCTGGCTCACAGTATACGCTTAGTAAGGACTGCTGAGTGAAAGCAGATAGCACTACGTTTACCCCACTGATATGGCAGCACAGATGAAGAAAAATTTATTATTTTTTTTTAGATTTAAGTTATTTATGTGAGACAGAGAACCCAAGTGAGGAGGAGGAAGGGACAGAAGGAGAAGCAGACTCCGCAATGAGCAGGGAGCCTGATGTACGACTCTATCCTAGGACCCTGGGATCATGACCCAAGCTGAAGACAGACACTTAGCCGACTGAGCCACCCAGGTGCCCCGGAAAATTTAGTTTCCCCATGGATGTTATGGACAGACTTAAAGATGAACAGAATCTCAGTAGAAAAATGATGGGGTGCATTCCAGGCAAAGCTAACAGTTCATGGACAAAGACAGGAGAGATTGGCATGCACAGAGATCTGATGTGGCCACAGGGTACCGTATTTGTGGGGTGGCATGACACAGAGTTAAAAAGGGGGCGTGGACCAAGCTCCTTGAAAGTAGAGTTACAGAGTCCTGATATAAAAACCAGTCAATGTCAGCATGCCAATGAAGGCCTTCAGGCAGGGAAATGATATAACCAACCCAGTTTAACTTTTAATATCACTAAAAGTAGAGTGTCTTTATATCTTATCTCTTATAGAGGCACTAATATTTTCAATCTCGCCCTACTCTCAATCCATTAAAGAGGTAAAGAAAATACTCTGCCTGGTAATTTGGAGGCTGGAAAGCTGGAGAGCAGTGAATGTCTAGATTTGGAAATATGAGAAAATCAACCAAATTTTGATAAGATTTTTTTGTTTCAAGATCCTTCCTCCAACCCCTAAAAAGGGGTTAAAAAAAAAAATCAGAGCACAGAAACACTCCCTCACTTGACTTAAAAAAAAAAAATTCTTAGAATGTTACACCTTCATTTCCTGTTTTCTACCTACACTTTGGGGTAACTTTCTTTTGAAAAAATTTCAAAAAGAAAAGTAAGAATACTACAAGGAATTCCTGTACACTCTTTACCCAGAGTTATCTATTAATTAATTTATGCCCATTTTTAAAATCATTCTATTTCTAAACATATACTTTTTCCCCTGAACCACTGAATGTAAGACAAATGTGCTGTTTTTACTCTTAAGTATTTCACTGTGTAAGAACAAGACCATTTTCTTACACAATCCACAGACACTGGTAATACTGTTACCTAAATCAGCATCTATATTCAAATTTTGTCAGTTATCCAAATAATGTCTTTATGATTATTTTCTCTTCAAATTTTTTAGGCTATTGTTAAATAATCTGCCTTTTGTCCCAAGAGATTACTTTTTTTTTTTTAAGATTTTATTTATTTATTTGACAGAGAGAGATCACAAGCAGGCAGAGAGGCAGGCAGAGAGAGAGGAGGAAGCAGGCTCCCCACTGAGCAGACAGCCCAATGTGGGGCTCGATCCCAGGACCCCGAGACCATGACCTGAGCCGAAGGTAGAGACTTAACCCACTGAGCCACCCAGGTGCCCCTGTCCCAAGAGATTTAAATAACCTTTATAGTATTGATACATTTTTTTCACTTATACATTACTGTATATTTGATACAGTAATTTAAAAGACTGGAATTTGGGGTGCCTGGGTGGCTCAGTTGGTTAAGTACCCAACTCTAGATTCGACTGGGAGCATGATCTCAGTGTCAGGAGATCAAGCCCTGCATCAGCTCTGTGTTAGGTGTGGAGCCTGCTTAAGATTCATTCATTCTCTCTCTCTCTCTCTCTCTCTCTCTCTGCCCCTCCCTGTGCTCTCTCCTTCGCTCCCTCTCTAAAAAATAAATAAATAAATAAATAAAATAATAATAATTTTAAAAAAAGGAGGATTGATGATTTATTATAGTAACTGCAAACAAGTTTGAACAGTCGTCAAGTATATCTCAGGAAGAGTCAGGCTCCATTATTAATTCTCTAGATTCAAACTCTGGCTCCCCCAGTACTCTATATTAGGCAAATTCTTTTGCTTCCCTTCCTGTTTCCTCAACTGTAAAACAGAATTATAAAATAATAACCCTTACCCAATAAGGATGTCAGAAAGGTTAAATGCTAAGTGCTCAGAACAATGCTTTGCATACAGTTACTGCTCAACCATTATTTTTACACAGGCACAATGTACGTCAGGGAATTGTTGGGTTGAAAGGATGCCAAGAATACCAGAACCACTAGTGGAACAGATATTAAAACAATAAAGTGAGAAAAATACCTAACCAAATAATTTAATTCCAAGCAACAAAAAGGCTACAAAAGATAAAATGAATACTTTGTATCATCTCAAGAAAACTGTTCAGTGGCAGATGGACAATGAAACAGGCTCAGAGCAACCCCTGGCAGCAGTAATAGGGCTCCAGGAAGAACACATTTAAAATTTAAAAACAGCTCGTTGAAAAAAAAATAAAGGCCACAGTGCCTTTTTTATGGGCTTCATGGAATTTTATGTTGTAATTCAGTGCCCACAGTATCAGAGATATTATCTTTCAGATGATGGTTCTCTCGCTGAACTTGCTGAAGGCAAACCAGGATATTTTTTTGGATATAGCCTAAGACAACACCATCAACCATTTCATAATTTTCTGACATCATAACTGCAGATACATTTGAACAGAAAAAGAGAGCTGATCAAAATCAACCAGTGGACACGACAATCTTAGCACATCTGTAAAGAAATCATCCTGTAAGGTGACTTCCCTGGTAGTAGCTTGGTTTTATTAAGACAAAGGAGAAAGTGACAAAACTACATTGTTTCTATGTTGTTGGTCCTAGGGTTGTTGCAAACTCTATCCCACTCCAACTATTATAAGATCAATCCTTGGTTTAACAGAAAAGGCTGAACCAATATCCTCCAGCTTCGTAAGCAAAGGTCTGTGCTAATCAGGGTTTAGCATCATCTCAGGGCAACTGTAGCTGTGGCTGGCTTCTGGCAAATTGTTTCTTCATGGAAATATGAAATGAGTAGAAAACTAGTGACCATCTGCTCTACTACAAGCCTTGTGACAAAAGTAATCCATCAAGACAAAACATCAGGCACGTGCATTTGACTTCGTATTTTAAGTTTTGATAGGAAAAGGTAAGTTCCTCCTCCTCCAGGACTTTTTTTTAAATAATTTTTCAAAATAGTACACATATCAACTTGGTTAACTTTTAAAATGCCTTAGCTAGATGCACTTTATTATCTTTTGATGTATTCAAAATGAGACTGACCAATACTGGAAACAAACAAGTACTCCCTTTCCAGCTCTACACATGCCTGAAAAATAACCTTGCAATAAGTATCTGGCTTCTTACTTGTTCTCTCATATATAAAATAAGGACAATACTTACAGATGTTGTTGAACTACTAAATTCTTTTTAAAAACCTCAAAATTAGAATTTGGACTAAATTTCTTTTATCAAAGAAACCCCCAGAATTGTCAATATGGGGGCCCTGAGCTATCATGTAAGTCTCCAACTTCTATTCCCTCCTCATTTACCACTTCTAGGTAGACTTTTACTGCTTTTTAGTAGTTGTGGCAAAAAGAAAAAGAAAGAAAACTGATGCAAAACTAAAGTAGGTGAAAATCAGATTTCTGTAATTTTTATGTTTCAATGACCTATGCCCTCTTTTCACAGATAACTTAGAATCGGTCCTATTATAATCATTGAGCTTCAGTGCTCCACCAGGAATAGTGGTATTTCTTGGTGTGAGAGACAGAACAGAAACAAACAACAGCAAAAGAATCAACTGTGGGATCATATGAAAATAATAGGTTTTTAAAGATCTATTAAGGTAGAGATATAAAAAGCTGATGCTATTTTGCTGTATATAATGCATTTTCCCTCACTATAACCTCTACATTCTAGAGGGAGAGTGAGAATCCACTGTCTGACCCCCACCTTCTGGGGGTTTGGGGGGGGTCTAAATAACAAATGGTATTGAACTTTAGACCTTCTGTTATTTCACAGGCTTCAGCCTAATGGATTTCCAAATCACACTGTTTAATCACGATGTTTTTCTTAAGTCTTTCAACCAACAAATCCTCTGGCACCATATAAAATGTGCTTTCATTTGTAACCCCTGACATCCCACATGTTCAAAAGCTTTACAAATGTTACAACTCAATAATGGGAAAAATCTCGTTTTCCCTAAAAGCGATGAAATCTCTTCCCACGCCAGGAAAGAAAAGGTTTGTGGAGGCAGTTAAACGTAAAGCTGATGGCACCGCTAAAGAAGGGGTACAGCCCTCAAGCCTTTCTTCCTCCATCAGAAATTCCTCAAGACCAACAAAAAGTCCCTGCCAAAAAGTACCAATTTGTGTGAGGCACAAAAATCTATACCCCGAGTCTCCATGTTGTATTTTTTATAATTAAATAAATCGAACCAGAGCTAATGAAATAGTCCTAAATTATTCTGAATCCTATGCAACCACAGCTACAAGTAAGTCAGTTGCTTCTCTTAACAAGGAGCACATCAGTGACTTCCATGAAATGCAGAGAATTCTATGAAAAGTGTAAATAACGTGGTGTGCTAGGTAATTTTCAATTCGGGGTGGGGGGAGGAATATTTCTGGCTTTGAGCAACACACTAAAACACCACTTTAAAGAATCCTGGTTTGTCCCTGAGACCTGCTCCCTACACCAGACTCGTAATCCCTAAAGGAGATGATCAGATTTTGCACGGAAGCTGGAGTGAGGCAGCCTGCAAACAGACCACTGTCACTCTACCGGTCCAGGCAGCAGATGGAAGCAGACAGACAAGTTCCATAGAGAGTTAGTAAAGCGAAGGCTAGTCGTGCATTATCAAGGGGGTGGAGAGGGGCTTCGAACTCCAGGCCGTCCCTGTTTTACCAACGGCACCTTTCCTGCCTTAAGGGGCAAAATGGGCCTGTGAGCTATTCAGAGTCGAACTGTTGCGAGAAAACCGCCGGTGGACAGGAGAGAACAATTTTCTTGGTTCTGTTTTCCAAGGCACCACCCCAGAGCTGCCGGAGAAGACGCTGGGCACGAGAGGGGCAGGACCCTGGACGCGCAGCATCTCTGGGGTCTGGGGCACCGGAACGCCCACCTCTCTCGGGTACCTGCGGACTGTTTCCTTCTATTTTTCTTTCTTTAACTTTCCGCACCCCGCGCCCCCCACGTTCCCCGGTGCTGCCCGCACACGGTGCTGGGAGAAGCCGCGCGCCGGCCCCACCCTGCGAAGGGGACTCACCTGCGCGCTCCGCCGCTGCAGGATGGAGGGAAGGCGGGAAGGGGCGAGGCCCGGGCGGCCCGACCGGCTAAGCGGGAGCCGGGGCGCCGCGAGGAGCGGGGGCCGGGGAGACAGCAGCGGGCGGCAGCCGGGACACAGTCCGCGCGGCTCCGGCCGCCGGCAGCCTCGCCGCCACGCCCTCGACGCTCGCGGGAGCCGCAGCCTCGCCGGGGGCGCGAGCGGCGTCAGGGCCCAGCCGGGCTGCCGGCGTCGCGCGCGCGTCCCCGCTCCGCCCCCTCCCCCGGCAGGGCGCGCGCGGCGCAGGCGCCCGAGGTCGGCGGCCGGCAGGGGCGCGCCGGGCCGGGACGCCGGCAGGAAGCGGCCCCGCCCCTCGAGCGCGGCCTTGGGGGCGGGGCGGGGGTCCGACCGCGCGCGCGCGCACTTGGAGGGCACAGCTGGGGTTGCTGATTCCCGGGCCGCGGGGCGCTGGGGCGGCTTTGCTGGAGCTGGGCTCTAAGTACCCGACGACAGAGCCTTTGGCGCCCTTTTCGTCTCCCACCGTGGCCAGAAATAGTTTCTCTCCTTCTCCCGTTGGTTCCGTGTGTCGGCCGCAAGAGGAGTTAGTGGGAGTATTAGACTATGTACAGTGCGCCGCGTGCTTGGCGAGCTTTACCTCGTTTAACCTCACGGTCACCGGCGAACCGGATATTATTAGCCAGCTTTTACAGACGTGCTGGCTTGCCCGAGGAGAGGCGGCGGCTAGATGGGAGCTGAGCTGCAGGTAGCACCGAGGGTGCAGCTCCGCAGCCTGGTCTCTTCCTCGCAGTGGGATTCTGCTCCCGAATCCCGCCGCTGCCGCAGCCTCCTTCCACTCCGCCAGTTCCCCGGTCCCCGCTCCCTTCCCTCTTCTTCCTGTTTTACAAATAGAGCAAGCACCTAAGCTAGTCAGTGAGTTGTCCAAAGTTACAATGGTAGGCCTGGGGCTCTTTGGCCATCATCATCATCATCATATTTCCTTTTTTTTTTTTTTTAATCTTTTTACAAAGCATCTGAGCCAAGCTTGGAAGTGAACCTGTGCCTCTTCCCTTAGCTCCCAGAGTGGGAAACAGAGGCAGCGAACAGGAAAGGAATTTGTCTTAAGGATGTGCAACTGGAAGAAAATCAGTTCTAATCATCCACCCCTAGCCCCCTCAGAGGCAAGGTAAAGCAAACTGAAGGTCAAAATCCAGAAGCCAGCGTTGTCAGGCACTCAGCACCCTAGACAGGGGGCAGGAAGAAGGGTTAAAGTGTCTGAAATACATCTAATGGCTGTTAGATTCACATTAAGGAGATGGGGTTGGATTATGGTCCCAATTACCCTAACGACTGACCCTGTGCCATCAGAGAGATCGATCACCTGGTCTGGTTCCTGCTCATTGCTTCTGTTGTTGCTGCTGCTTCCAACCCTGCTGCCCTTGCTGGCGACCTTGACCTAACCAAGTTCTTCCCTTTTATTCATTTCACCAATTTTTATTGAGAGCCACTTCTTTCATCAAAGACACCCAAAGAACTGCAAGAATTTTTCTTCTCTAGATGCCTCTAACCCAGAAACTTGGGCAAAAAATTGAATTTTTAGGTGAAATGAGTTTGGGAATTGCTGCATTTTGCAAGGCTGCTTGAGGATCCATGATGCCTGTTAACACAGAAACGGTTCTGGGAGGCCCTCAAGTAAAAAGACCCTGCAGCCTTGTTTAACCCAGCGTTCCCCTTGAGGTATTAGGCTGGGCCCTGGGCTATTAAGCATAATGTCCACACAGATCTACCCCTTCAGGGGCTCACAGAGGAGACAGATGAGCAAATGCAGTAATAGAGCATTTGCAAAGTGCTGACAAAGCAGAGGAAGAAGTGAAACATTCTATTGGGAAAATGGAGGGAAAGATTTGCAGATAAGACAGTATTTGAGGAGGAGTTTTCTAGGCTGAGAATATGGGAAAGGGCATTTCATAGTAACAGCATATTTAGAGACATGTAAATAAGTATAACTTTGTGTCGGTCTTTGGGGATCGGTATTAAGTATTATTCAAGAGGATTTGTTTGGTTTTGTTTTGTTTTTGCATGTAGTAAACCCCGCTGAGCTAAGCAGCAAATGGAATTCATTGCTTCATGTAACAGAAAAGGTATGGATGGGCTCCAGGCAGACTGGATCTGGGGGCTTAAAACTATGACATCAGAACTTAGTCTTTTTTTTTTTTTTAAAGATTTTATTTTTAAGTCATCTCTACACCCAACATGAGGCTCGAACTCACAACCCAAGATCAAGAGTCGCTTGCTCCACTGACTGAGCCCACCAGGTACCCCCAGATTCAGTCTTTATTTACTGCTTCCTGACTGTTTTCCTTTGTGTTGCTGTTTCATTCTCGGGCTGCCTTTCTCCATGAGATGGCAGAACGACTGCTTACACTTCACATCACGTTCTTACCAACATGAAACAGAGCTGGTTTTTCTCGCGGCTGTCAACAAGAGTCCTGGGACCGCCTCCTGTTGTTCGGACTTGGGTTACTGGTGCATCAGTAAACCACTCTCTTGAGAGGGGGGCCTGGGATATTCTGAATGCCCAGGCCTGGGGCCCATCTCACCTCTGGAGCTGAGGTGCAGTGAGTCAGCAGCTCTCAGGTCTCAGAAGCTGAGAACTGAGGCAAGGCGGCTTCCTGTGAGAGGGTGTTTTCTGTTGGTCCCTCTAAGGGATGTACTCTCCACCCTTTTCCTTCCTGATTTGTATCTCAGTAGGCCGACCTGCATAGATGGCTTCAGCAGGTCCCTTCTCCTCCGGCTTCCAGTTGAATTTTTCCAATAGAATATGTTAGTAGGAGATCAGAGGGGTTGGAGGAAGAGGAAATGAGGGTGTTAGTCTACAGACCTCTTCCCTCCCAGGTTCCTGCAGGTTGGCTGCATATATGCGCTGAGGCTTCTGTCAAGTGTCCTACAGATCTCGCCTCTAGTTATGCTAAGGTCTTTCTTTCGGTCTTCTCTCTGCGGGCAGCTTCAGGGTGCCATAACTCTTCCATTCCTTCTGGTTTCCCTCAAGCCTGCCCGCACACTTGTGAACAACTTTTACCAAATGCCCCTCAGATTAATCTTTTCCTGGAACCCTGATAGTTACATTCACCAAAGGTAAATCAAGTGTCTATTACCTGCTCTGTCTATTACAGAGCAGGCACTGGCAATTAGAGAGTCATACTGGTTTGGTAAAGCTATGACAGTATTGCAGACCAGGGGTGATAGTACCTTCGACCAGGGTCGCAGGGAAGCATTTATGAAAAATAGTATGATCCTGACTGTATTCAATTTTTTTCTAGATTTTATTATTATTTTTTACTTGAGAGAGAGAGAGAGAGAGTGCGAACACACAGATGGAAAGGGGGGCAGAGAAAGGGGGAGAAGCAGACTCCTCGACAAGCAGGGAGCCCGATGTGGGGCTCGATCCTAGGACCCCGGGATCATGACCTGAGCCGAAGGCAGATGTTTAACCGACTGAGCCACCCAGGCACCACCCTGCCCCCGCCACACCACTGTATTCTAAAGGGAAAGTTAACAAAATTTGCTGATTTGAGAGGAGTTGAGGATGGAAGCATTTGGAAGACCTAGGTCTGGAGCCCAAGGTGAGGTCGGACTGGGCGTGGTGATTTGGAAGGGAAGTGTGATGCGTAGTTGAAATCATGCGCTTGGATGAGATGAGAAGAGCGAGTGGAGTAGAGTGCAGCAAGAGCGAAGGACAGAATCCAGAACAGTGTCAGGTCTTCACGGGGTAGGCAGAGAGGGTTGCCACCTCGTATCCATCAGCTAGGTTGTAAGCAACTAGAGAACAAGAATGGAAACTTGCACATCTTTCCTCTTTTCCATTGTGTCCGGCAAGGTGCTGGGCACACCCCTAAAATAAGTGGTTCTTATGAATGAACTTTACACAGTTTCGTATTTCTAACACTCCCTTCTTCTCCTGTGGTCTGAGTCACAGGCGGAGGAAAAAAAAGAGAACGAGAACCTGATCCCTCGTGGCTCAGTTCATTGAAGGCTGTGGCAAAGTGGATAAGCATTTTGCTGTCCTGGAAAACGCAAGCAGAACCTGTTGATTCTTTTTAAAGTTTTTTTTTAGTTTAATTTAATCTATTTATTTGACAGAGAGATCACAAGTAGGCAGAGACTCAGGAGGGAGAAGCTTTTTAAAGTTTTTTTTTTAGTTTAATTTAATCTATTTATTTGACAGAGAGATCACAAGTAGGCAGAGACTCAGGAGGGAGAAGCAGGCTCCCCGATGAGCAGAGAGCCCGATGTGGGGCTCGATGCCAGGACCCTGAGATCATGACCAGAGCCGAAGGCAGAGGCTCAATCCACTGAGCCACCCAGGCGCCCCAGAACCTATTGATTCTTAGCAGCTTAATGCCTGCCTTTCAGGAGAGTTTCCAGACAGGCTATTTCATTCCAAATTTTGTGAGTTTCCTTTGATTAGATTTAAAAGTCAATACTTTTAAGAAGTCATTATGGAGGTAACAGAAGTAGTCAAAGATCTCTTTCTCACACTCATACATTGCTGGTGGAAAAAATACAGCCATTCTTGGAAATCGTTTGCCAGTTTAACAGTCTACATGTACACCTCCCCTATTACCCAGAAATTCTGCTCCTACTTAGACACTCAAGAGAAATGTAAGTGTAGGTATACACACGCACCGCTCTTAATATCTTTATTTGTAATATCCTCAAACTGGAAATATTCCAAATATCTGTCAAAAGAAGAATGGAGAAACTATGGTATAGTCAAACAAGGAAATAGTACACAGTCATAAAAAGGAATGAACTACTGATACCCACAACAACATAGATACATCTCAAAAAAAAAAAAAATGGTTGAGCAAAAGAAACCAGATACCAAAGAGTTGTGGATGTCATTCCATTCATAAAACATTCAAGGCATTCAGGCAAAACTCATCTCTGGTGATACAATCAGAATAGTTTCTACTTCTGAGGGGTTGGATTGAGTAGAAAAGGGCATGAGAGCACATTCAGGGCTTATGGGGAATTTCTTTCCACACTGTACATTCAACACATATTTATTGGATATCTGCCACTTGCCAGGCACTGGTCAGGGCATTGGGAATATAGCAGTGAATGAAACAGGCCAAAGCCCTGCTTTTATACAGATCTATCTTGACTCTTCGTTGGCTGCACGGTATCAATGGATTCTTTTTTAT